GCTTCTCATACACCAAAACACGACAAATACAATTTGATAGAAATCAAAAACGATAAAACTCATACCTCGATAACCATACGAACCTGCAACAATTAAAACCCTAACAAAACAACAGCGTATATTACGACTGCCCACCGATGTGCACCACCATGTGTTATGCCTGTAATACATATACACATCGCCATAATTCTCACTTTGATAACATACCTCGTCGATCGGAGACCTGAAACACAAAAACCTTCAAAACGTAACAACATCCATATCAATAACAAAACAAATAGATAATCATCAGCGTATGATTTGTTATAAAAGAGATCAATCGTTAAGAATATACTACAGAAGAAGAACAAATATTAAGAAAATCGAAGCGTATAATGAAAAAAAAAAAGCAAAGACAATGATTTGTTTAGGTGATGAAACCAAGACAAATATTATATGTGAATACATTAGGATACAAATACTAAAAAAATTCATACGAATAAAGATAGAAACAATCAGAAACTGTAATCGAGAATAAGAAAACTAACATAAAATCGCAAAATTTAATACGATAAACCTGTGAAAATAAGAAGAACAAAGAACATCAGAGAACTCGTTAAAAAAAATCAGAAACATTATAACATAATAATATATCATTAACAAATCATCAAAACTCGTTAGAACCTATTAGATTAGAAACATATGAATGCAAAGCAACGAAAGAAAAACAACTATAATGTTAAACCTAAAAAAAAGGACTAACAAATTTATGGTAAAAATGTAGATTTATATAATAAACTAAAACCTCTAGGGTTTTGTCAATGAAAAATTATTTGTGGGCCGACAGAAATACCAAATCCAAACACATTAATTATCATTCAACAAATTTATACTATTTTAATTAAAAAATAATCGGTGGTAAAGACATGTAATTAGGGTGATTTTATTAAAGGTATTCTTGTAATCAACCACTTTCAAATCGATGGGAAGGTGTCACGTAGGATTTTTTACTTCATATATAAAAGAATAGATTTCTAAAAATACAACACCGAATATCACAAAAAATCGCAGCCCTCCTAAAAAAGCTTACGGTATTTTTCAAAGAATAAAGGTTTATATAGTATTTTGGAGGTATTTCTTTTTATTTAATCATTTTGGTCAAAGTATACTTATAATATTCTTAACATAAAGCTATGACAATTGGCAAATTATCTTCATGTTCTAAATCCTAATTTCATATTTCCCACGATTTTAG